TTCGTAACTTGCCAATAAATTATAAATTGTGATCAGGCAGGCGGTGCTCATTGATGCATTATGGATCGTGCAACAGGATTATGCAGCTCGGGCACGGCCGTCCGTAAATCGTATACGTGTATACAGTGTATACTGTATGCGCTACATGTAATGCTGTTTTACATTTCATCGAGACCCCGAACGATCGAATCGCCGATCGTCACGAGCGCAAGGGTAGATAAAATGAACCAACAGCTCATTTCATTATTAAAATTCGGAAGCGTTACGCCATCCCTGATACGGTCAGTTGGATCACAGTAATGTTACATCGAGATCTAACGTAATTCTAATCGTAAATTATTCTTATCTACTTTTCAATCCTCTTATGAATCCAAGTATCTGCTTTCTCTTTAACATAACTTAAATCATAAAGAAATAAAAAATGAAACAATATTTTGCAATTCCTGTGTATAACACATGTATAATAAAAATCGCTCTCTATTCTTATGAATGAGCTTTCGTCTCTGCTTTCTCTCTCTCTTACGATGTCTCCGTCTCTGTTCATCTTTCGGGTTGAACTAATTATTAATTATCCGCGAACGTGAAAACATCTGCCGACACTAAACGTTGCGTAACCCGGCTAATACCGCGCGTACAACGTTCGTATTTACGACTTGGACTTAATTGGACTTTCATTTCGCGTGGTGACCCGCGAACTAGCGTTACCGGTTATATTATACGCGAGCAGATTCGATGGCCGCAGCGTTGGCTCCGGGCGTTAGGGGATCGATTATAAGCGTAAAATAAGAGAGGAGCGACGCACGAGGCGGCTACCAATACGGACGGAGAAAGGGTAACGAAGGAACCGAGAGAAAACGACGAAGGAAGGGAAAGCGAAGGAAAGGAAGGAGGACGAAGAAAGAAGAGAAATAAGAGGAGAAGTTACCCTGGTTTCAGACTTTATATAGAATCTGGACTGTGTACCTACCGGCCACCATATGTCGTCTGACTATAGATACCGATCTTCAACGGTGAAGAGATAAAGGGCGGAGAGAGAGAGAGAGAGAGAGAGACGGTGCTTTGTCTTAGCCGCCCCTCGGCATTCCTTCGTTCGAAGCAACATCAGCCCAAGAATTATAATCACCCCTCAGTATCCACCAAATATTTAGACCTTCGTAGGAGATTTTTACAGCTGAACTGGAGGCTGGTTCGAAAGTGGAGAAGCAAGAGATAGAGATAGGCAACAGGAGGAGAGAAAGAGAGATAGAACTGATGCAAAGAAGAAAGAGAGAACGGAACCAGAAGCACCTGCGCGTTCCGCCTCCGACCACATTCTTTGTGATTTCCTCGAGAAAAATAGCTGAGGATTCTCAGCCGCTTTCGACGCATGCATCCAGTCTGTCTCGGCCGATTCTAATAATCGTAAAAAAAGCCAAGGGATCGAAAAGAACAAAAGAATTGTTAATCGAAATACCCGCACTCAGAATAGTATGACTGCATTCTGGCCTAACGTAGCCTTCGACCGTTATAAGGGAACGAGTATGCGTGTGTGAAGATCATCTGTGTGCGTGTTAGGCCAGAATCCAGTGAGTTAGAAGAGACGAAAAGGCGTTTGGACGACCTCTCGAAGGTCAGCTGAAGAGATGTCTGAATATTATTTACCCTGACACACGACGACCTCCACCGCAGCCTCCAAAAGTATTTTGCACAGGCCGTGTTTATGCAGGACAAACAGAAGGCGCAGGCGAAGGATACGAAAACTGACTCGAGCCATTAAAATAATAACTTGCGATATAACAAACTCCTTAGCCTATTTTACTTTCCACTATACCATAAGATATTCACACGTAATTCAATGAATTCTAACGCAGGGATAGTACATAAAATACCTCACGACGGTAGTGGGGACTACCATTTGTGGGAGTATACTAGGCATGGTCAGTGATTTCTAAGATCGTTAGAATTATTTTGGATGTATGAACTGCATGCATCTAAAACAATACGGAGTCAGCTATTTTTTTAAACCCGAAACTAGTGATGTTTGGTGGGAATGCTTCTCGGTGACGAATGTTTTATTATACTTAAACTACTTTCGAGCGCATAATATACCGCGATAGTCACGGCTACCGTTTCCTACGTATTAACATTCAACACGACGAACCTAAGTTGAGAATAGCCGCCGCGTTGGGGAACCGTTTTCTGTGCCCACAATCGGCCTTTTCTGTGTATACGATTACATATGCAGTATGTTACGATTGTGTCCAGCCAGTCAACTCTTCGAAGCGCTTTAAACGCGTACGAAACAATATACCAGTTATTTTAGATTCCCAATAGGTTTTAATATCGTTCGAAAACAATATTAATAATTCCATAGGAAATATTTAATTTCATAAACGTAACCGAATGATATTAATTACCATTCATTAATGTAAAGAGGAAATGGTTTAAGTATAGCAACAGGATAGTAGATGATTATTGATAATACAGATCATCGTTGATCTGATGAGAGAAGTTTTTGCACAAAGTGCATGAAACCTCGTATATTAATCGAGTCCTGAGGAAGTTGCGATCTTCGCGTATCGCAAGAATTATAAGCGAAACTTAGACTCGATGCTTACCTAATCCACGAAGATGTGTTCAGATGCGGTTCACGTCCCGCACTAAGATCACTTTTTCCAGATAGGTACACATATAAAACAGACAAAGTTAACCTCAACAACACTGGCTACACGCGGTCGAATGCGCGGGTGCCGCGAGTCGGAATGTGCGCATGCGCGTCCACAATGGAATGTGCCCTCCCCATCTCTTTCCGTCCCGCAACTAGCGATGGCTACGAAACATCGCTTATTTTCCAACCAGTAATAAATCGATGCAAGTTGCAATCCTATTTTACGAAATAAACGAAACTTTGACTTACGCAGACGGGAGGTTAAGTACATCAAAGGAGATTGAGATTTCATGAAAATCTCAGGGCTCTGATGCATATAAATTCGACTATGTGTATGTGTGAGGCAATAGTATTGTACTATCCTAGATTCAAGAAATTCTTTTTGTTCAATTACTTCATTTTTTCTTTTCAATAAATAATTTATGAAATAAAAAGAACTCGTTGTTATAATTCCCACTTTCCTTCTGTCCCCGATTTCGCTTCCAACAATATGACCGTATTAATAACTATTCTGATCTATCGCGGAATATTTAAAAGTTTGTTTCAAAGATATTTAAGTATAGCCATCGCTACGTAGTGGCGCACCTTCCCTCTCTCAAGCATCTACAACGCGCCGTTGCTCCTCGACTCCTCGCAACCCTTCTTCGTCGCACTTACAATCGCGAGGCTCATTTCACCGGCGACGTGCCGTCGTACGGTCGCCGAAGTATGCGCCTATATGCTGTGCGTCCGATACAGAAGATTCTTTACGTATACGCTACCATCCACGCCACTGCAACGAATATTATTTATCTATTTCTAAATTCTAGCTCAAATAAGAATTTCGTAAAAAGTATCTCGAAATTATATAAATACATGCATAGAGGTGCATGAATTTGCAGTCTCTCTTAAACACAAAGTAGCACTTGATGCTGCTGCAATATTTCTTTTTCTTTGAATTTCGTATACTGCGTGTATACTCCAATTTACTGTCGAGTTTAAATATTGTCGATAAGACATTTTATGCAGTCGCACTGATTCACTTGTTCAGTTGTGGCGTCCTGAAGGCAAGTCAATTTTCTATTCGCAGTTAATTGCTTCTCGCAGCGAATTATTCGCTGCATGAAAACGCATCTTAAGTATCATGTAACCATAAGGTCGAGTACAAATTATTTTCAAATGAAGTAGACTGCGAATTTTATGCAGTTATAAGAAAATTGAATGAGCAGGATGGCCTAATCTGTAAAACTACACAGAATACTAAAAGATCGGTGCATGTATTCTAATATTCTAATCATAAAAGAAATGTTTACCTTGTAGGAGACAAAACATTTCACTTACGCTTTTAAAGAATGGCGTCATTCCATCTAACTATGTCAATTAATAAAAGAGGCACTCGTGTGTTCTAATTTCCGGTTCAATCGCAATCGGAAGCTCCCGTCGAAGGAGTAGGAACGAACGATTACCTTTTTATGTCCCTGATGATTTATCTGAGAGGCAAGAACATCCCGGCGATGCACATAATCCGGTTAATCCAACGTAACACAAAAGAAGCCTGCTTTGGGCGCGCAACAGGTGGTCGTAAACGAATAAACACTCTTTCGCGTGAGGAAGGTATTAAATACACAACACAACACAAATCGCGCGTACACCGTCGTGCACGAGAAGAGAATTCTTTGATCTCACGTAAACGTTTCCCGAGCGAAGATATTTCACATGTTATTCGAACCGCGAGAAGACCGTTCTGACCGTGCCGCGAACAACATTTTTAATTCTATCTGTCTACCTCCCCGGTAATTAGAACAACGTTGTAAGAATTTCAGATATAGTTCTGCAAAGCGAAACGTGTCAAGCTACGACGAGACATTAACAGGACGTGTTGCACCGGCGGCCGGCGACTGACTGACTAGCGGGACAACTAGCGGCGGCTTTCCATGGTCGATGAACTAACCTAACATTATAGAAAATACCGCGAGAAACTTTGTGCTTACAACACGGTTTATCGAGATCCTACGAATGTTGAGATACAAATAATCGTACTACGTCGATTTCGTAGATTTACAATAAAAAATTCAACGTTTGGTTACATATTTTTGTTACGATATAAATTTGTTCCGTCCGCGTAACCGATCACCCATGTTTTTAATAAATCGGAAGTCAAGAAAACGATGTTTAAGTAATAACAGTTATTTCGTGTATACATACGTTTTCAGAACAATTTATAAACAATTGTTATAAAGAGGAAATCAACTTACGCGCTGGATCGCGTCGCAACAGGCAAACGGCCCCATCTTACAATCCGGGAGGCAAGCAATGCGCATTTTCGAGTTAGAAAGTCGTTTCTCAACGGACATAGGGAGCGCGATAGTCAGCGGAACTATCTGCAAAGATCACAGTGTGACGTAAACGACGATCTAAACAAGTATCAGCTGTGTAGCAGTCATTGTTCGTATCCGTTTTGGCAGGCGTACAAGAATTCTGTTTTTCTTCGTTTTTCTGATCGTCGGGCGTGAGGTCCGACGGGATAAACGGGATACACATCAGTCAGGGAGAGAAGTGGCGAAAAAAAGGGGGGAGGCTACGAGTTTTCCGTGCAACGCGACCGTGTGTGGCTGCGTGCGTACTCCAGCCCCAGCCCCACCAGCCGATCTTAAGGACAATAATCGTGTGAAAAACGGGGCGGTACGCGCATAAGCCTGGCCTCGAGCAGCGAGTCAGAAGACGGTGGACTCGCTCCGCCACCGTGCAAAAGGTCTCGTAGTTCCCTCCCGGCTACCCTACGACCAGCGGACGAGCACCACACCGACCCTGAGATGGAAAACTATCGGTAACGCAAAAAAAAAAAAAAAAACAGGGCCCTAGATCATCGCGACCGCGTAGTCAACAAACGAAGGGGCTTACCCCCTTCGTAATGACGCTCTCACGTGTATCTTCTTCCTTGCAGAATCTCAAGACGTATCGACGTCGGATTCCTTTCATATGTGCTGTCTATCAAGCGGTTTTCTTATTTGTTCAAATCCTTTCATCGAGTAGTCATAGATCTTTCGTACATTGCATTTTAAATCTCTTTAAACGAATCAGAAAAAAAAAAGTAATAATAATAATAACAGAAGAGACGTTTGAGTCAAGATAGAATGTACCACACTTAGTACAAGCGCGTGTTACTATTCTGGACTACTATTGCCGTCACGGGTAACATTTCCCTGTGCATGACAGCATAATGCAACAGCAGGCTTCAAACGGTGGCATTTCCTCCGGGCTACAGCAGAATGGGTCCGACTCCGGCGGACCTCATGCAAATGGCAACGTGTTACCAGAATCGGATAATGACATCAATGGTGTAAATGGGGAAACGAATCAGAATATGGGACCGCCGAAAGTAATGGACAAAACCAATCAAGACATTGTCAGGCTCATTGGACAACATTTGAAGACGGTTGGACTTAAGTATGTACCTTCCTTCCTCTACGTCTGTCTACTGTGATCACAAAATGATCTCATCGAACGAAGGAAACGTCGTGTATTACAATCAAGATTTGATAACCAGTTGAAAATGTTACAGTTTAACTTCAGCAGTTCTCATTTCTTTTACAATCTGAAAGTTTCCTTTGTTCATCTTCAGTTTTCCTTGTATGTACATTTATCAGAAGTATTGTATCGCAACCTATCTAAACTGCACACTCATTGGTGGGAGAAAGCTAATTATAGAAACTTGAAATATAGTCAGCAGTATCTTTGCAGTATCTATCAGCAGTATGCATGCAGGGACGCACATGCAGTATCAGCAGTATCTAAAGTTATATTTGCTTTATAATGATCCTGGCAATAAAAGAAGAGGCACGTACATTTTGTGAGGGCACGAGCTGCCTTTAACTCTATCAAATTCTTATTGTATTTCACTGAGATCGCAATCGAAACTATCACACCTGAACGAAACCCATTTTCATCAAGTCGTTCAATTTTTCCCATGCTGAATTCACAGTGTGAAATGTAATTTACAGTCGCACAGCAGATCTCCTGATGCAAGAATCTGGTTGTCGTTTAGACCACCCGTCGGCAGCGAAATTTAGACAGCACGTAATGGACGGTGACTGGACAAAGGCGGAACACGATCTTAGCGAACTAAAAACATTTTTAAACGGAGCGAATCAAAGTCTAATAGTAAATATAGTCCTTAGCGCGTTTCAATGCGCCTACGTACGTTGCGCTAATAATTATTTATTTATAGGAGATGAAGTTCTTGTTACTAGAGCAAAAATATTTAGAATACTTGGAGGAAGGATTAGTATTGGAAGCATTGCACGTTTTACGCAATGAACTGACACCGTTAGGGCATAACACTGGTCGTGTTCATCAGTTATCTGCATTTATGATGTGTAGTGGACGCGATGAATTGCAGGTAATATACATTCACGTTCTTGTTCCAGTCTATATTCTATTCATGAATGTATGTATGTATCGAGAAACGCCTGTTGTTACACTTTGTTTTGTACGTACTAATGCATTTTCAAAGATTGAATTTTGTATGGATATAGAAATATTCTGAAACTAACCAGTTACTGAAAATTTGATCACTAGCAAATAGACACTTGTTAACAGACACGTGCAGGCTGGGATGGCAAAGGTGCAGTCTCGAGGGCTGCTCTAATGGACAGACTACAGAAATACCTGCCACCCTCCATTATGTTACCACCGAGACGCCTTCACTCTCTCTTGTGCCAAGCTGTGGAAATGCAAAATCAACAATGTACATACCATGTAACACAAACTCAGGTACTACTCATCATTTTTTTCCGTCGCTTCTCTACTCCCGACGCAACTTCGATTGATTTACTTTTCTATCATTAGACAAGCTTAGAAAATGTGTCGCTACTCGTGGACCACAGCTGTAGCAAAGAACAGTTCCCATGCCATACTATACAGGTGCTCAATAATCATTGTGACGAAGTGTGGTATTGTAAATTCTCTCCCGACGGTCGCAAGCTAGCCACGGGTTCGAAAGATATGACTGTAATCATTTGGGACGTCGATCCAGTGAGTACGAAAAGCTCCGAGTAAGTGTGTATTTGCTGATCAATCAGTGTGATAGCTTGGTACTATTTAAAATAGGATACACTGAGGGTGACACACAGGAAAACGTTAGAAGGTCACACTTATGGGGTGGCGTTAATCGCATGGAGTCCCGATAGCAGCCTTTTAATTGCCTGCGGACCTGAAGATTGCCCGGAGCTTTGGCTTTGGAGTATCGACCCGCCTGATTACGAACTACGCGCGACAGTCACTCAAAGCACTGACGACTCACTAACAGCTTGTGCCTGGTATCCTGACTCACGGAAGTTTGTCGCGGGAGGGCTTCGCGGACAGTTCTATCAATTTGTAACATATCAATTGAACGTGTAGCGCAACGTACGTGGTTGCTCGAGTATCTAATAAATATGTGATCGCGAAATTTCAGGACATAGAAGGCAACGTCACGGAGTCTTGGGAAGGGGTCAGAGTGAAGTGTCTGTGGTGCAAAAACGACGGGAAAACGGTCCTGGCTGCCGACTCGCATCATCGAATTCGGGGATACAACTTCGACGAACTATGCGATGTTACAATGTAATATTTGCTTCCCCACACGAACAATGCGCTACGTGATACGTTATTATAATGTTTGATATATCGCAGATTGCAAGAAGATCATCCCCTAATGTCCTTTAGTGTAAATAAAGCTGATCGACTCGCGCTTCTCAACGTAGCTAATCAAGGTGTACACCTTTGGGATTTGCAAGACAGATGTTTAGTAAGACGTTTCCAAGGTGTAACTCAAGGCCATTTCACAATTCACAGTTGTTTCGGTGGTGTGAATCAAGATTTCATTGCATCCGGTAGTGAAGGTAAGTCTTTGAAGCAGTTTAAATTCTAAGACACCGTTGGAGCCTCTACAAGATTGGACAACAAAACAAGAAAATGCCAAAAACGAGCACCCTGTACAATTTGTTACAGATACTAAAGTGTACGTATGGCATATCAAAAGAGAACTACCTATAGCAACTCTAACAGGACATAGTAGGACAGTGAATTGTGTATCATGGAATCCCGTGTATCACCAAATGATGGCTTCTGTATCAGACGATTGCACAGTAAGAATATGGGGCCCTAGATCGTCCACGCCGGAGAAAGTCGATAGTGACAAGACTGGTAAGTCGTTTCCAAGGAGATCGAACGAAGACTAAATCCGTAGATCTGACACGAATTTGTATGTTTAAATTGCAGTACCATTAGAAAGCAACTCTTCGAATGGTAGTGGATGGCATGAAATGGTATCGTAGCGAACTACAGTATATCAGTGTTCCCATGACCTCATGGTGTTCAAAAGACTGTCATATTGATCGTTATACTGACTCTTTCCTGCCCATAGCAGTTATCTCTCTTTATGCCTCGTTACCGTAAGTCTACGACTACCGTTGTGAGACGAGAGATACGTTAGCATCAACTGCTAATCTGATTAAACAACTAATGATCGGGTGTATTTAAAAACCTCTCTCTTCTTGATTAACGGATTTTATATGGAAAGTCTTGTTTCTTTTGGCTATCGAAATTAACCGGTACACACGCGTTCAATAATGTACACTTCTCTGAGAACGAATGACAGCATAATATGTTTGCTATTATAGTTTACGATCAAATAAAAATTCAACAAATTCTACCGTAGCTTGGATGTAAAGAAAAAAAAAATATATTAAATGTGCAGTAATAAATAACGAAGCAATGGACATTGCAAGAAGTAAAATTTCTAGTTTTTGCGCAATTATCGTAAAGGAGGAGGAGGAATATTGTTTTGACAAGGACTATGTCAAATTTAATCTTTCTAAAAATAAAATGCTGTAAATAACAATCTCATGCTTAATGGATTTTTAATTAATTTTTTAAATCGTTGATGAGAGTGTTCTCATTTTTCACATATATATATATGTAACTGCCATCCTACATTGATACCGTATGTTTCGAATTGTATATGCAGGATAAAGAAGGTAGAATTAACGTAAACACTATACGAGAAGAGTTTTAATTTTCATTAAATAATTTGTCACGGCGAATAGGCGAGGTGTGACGTGTGAAGTTTATAAACGTATAAACTCTGTTGCGAGACATGCGATTCTATATTCAAGATTAGTCAGAAAATTTAACGAACATTGATCGATTTTACTATATGAAATTGAAATAAAAACTGAATTTGAAAGTTCAGCATGATGTTAGTACCTTCATTCAATACTGTGATTTCATATTATCATAAAACGTATGTATGTACTTGGTATCGAAAATTTACGAATTAAATTACATTTGCCTTATATTGTCACGCTCATGGAAATTTTACTATAGTAGGGATTCATAGGGAATCGTTGATCACGCGTTCGATTTGTTTCGAATTTATTAGACTTAATTCACCGATCCAAGATCTTTGGTACCTACTCCTACATCTAATGCCTTTTTTTTTAATTCTGCCTACAGCGACATGTTTTTTAAATTTCGCCAACTTTTTCATCAACAAAATAGAATAATCTCGAAATGCAAATTAGAGGTACATCGTAAAATATAATCGAGATAAATATAAACGAGAAGAAAATGTCGGTAGTTATGCCCCTAAAATTATAGTGAGATATGATATCAATCACTATTATCATTTGCATTTACCTACGGTGCCTTAGCACTTTATAATCTAATTGAAGAGTCATCTTTTCATAATTTCGATGAACGTGTAATAATTTCGTATGATTTGCGATGTGACAAGTAATTAATGCAGACGAGTCATAGACAAATACAAGAAACTGATATTTCGCAATAAAGTCTTTCAATAAATCGTTTCTGTATTTCTAGTATACTGACAAAGTGGTCACTATTTTCGTACTAAGTGATCAGTTATTTTCGTATAATTAATTATTTTTATATTTGGTTGTGAAATGCTTGCTTCCCTGAACAGCAGACAAATCGTCGAGGAATAATAATTAGTTCTGTAAAATATCAGTGTGACACAATAAAATTATGTAAGACGTGGCATGTTCGAATAGAATTTCAACTATTTCGTGTGGACAAAGGGCGTTTCGTGGAAACGTGGAAATTGGAAGACGTGATTAATCTTACTTAATTTATGGTAGAGGAATGAATAATTCAAACGAACTGTACACTTTTTCAACAGTATTATCTTACGTTCGACCGCGTATTACACGATGTTTAAATAGTTTTGGACCATATAACGAGGCGATTAACGAAATTGGATAAACCATAATATTATACTTAAGCGTAAAAACACCGATATCTCCACATAACGACTTACGTTTTCACAGTGCAATCGAAGTTGTATATTAGGAAAGCAAATCTAATTAGATTACGATTCGCATCTCATCGAGGAAGAGACACTTGTTGAAGAAACCTTTATGTACATTATTATTANAGTTAAACGAGTCTTAATTGTAAGTTAGAATTTAGAATATATATATAGTGTTAGAAGTATATTTTATTATTTTCGTTTCAAGTCACGGTCACGATTTCTATATATAAATGTACGACACGCAGAATATATGTATAATTGTCCCTCCGAGTTGAACGAATATAATAAAATAAAAAGTGAACATATGCAATATGCATAATCTCAAGATAGTTTAAATTCGTCCCGGTATTTCCCGACCTGCTATCAACGATATATCTCATGGATTGATCAAGGTATAGTATAATACTGAAGTATAGTCTGTAATCAAGTGTGTTCGGTGATGATCCGAAAATCACCCACGCAAACTCCCCCCCGCCCCAACTCCACGGCATAGGTCGGATGCGTTTGTGAACGCGAACCTTTCCGGGAGCTCCTGCTCGGTGCGGTGTGTCCGTGGGAACATCTTCTACGGTTTCATCAAGTTTCCTCGACCATTCCACGAAATTAAACACGACTCCGCGATACGAGCCACGAGTCCACCGACCGCCCCACCGTTTAAGGATCGCTCGTGACTTCTACTAGGTTGCGACCGGGCAAACGAATGTCCTTTCTCGATTCTTGTAACGGGCATTTGGTCGCGAGAGAATCCGACGAGCACTGGACCCAGCGCGAACGAACCACCGATCTTCATCGACCGATCTGACTGATTTTTGTGATCCAGTCACCGAAAACTTCCATCATTCCGTCAAAAACCGAGTGCCGACCCGCAGGGTGGCGATCATTTGATACGGTACGTATGAATATCCACGTAAGACGTTATGTCCACCCGAATGGACGAAGGATGGCCGTTATGTACGGACAGATGGATGTGCTTGCACACCTCCCCTATCACGTGAAAATTTTCGTCTTAGTTATCTCTGAGTCACGACTTGCTATAATCTAGAACGCGTGTTACGATTCTTTGCCCAAAATATATATACATATATGCTCGCAGGTTCAATATTTTTCGACCGATGAATCATGATTTTCCTCGTTCGGTATTTCCTTGTTACGCACAACCGTTTTCCTCTAATTTCTCTGTTGGACGAGGGACGTTATTTATTGGAACGTAATTTCATCAATTTCTCTGGTTATCTGTTTTGTAAGTGAGCGACGTTAATTGACACGACTTCGTATTACTCATTCGGTACAATACGTATTAACATAATAGAGTAACTAATTTGCAAACATTCGACCGTCTCGCCGACAGTATGTTTGCGATCCAGTTTGTAGCCGATGCTTGTCATGTTATCTTCCAGCTCGTTTTATACCAAACTTGGCCTGATATATTTCCTGTACAAACCAGTAAAGTTCCAATATCCGATACAAAAATATCGTTTCAACTTTTGTGTATCGAAATTCTTAGCACGCATATGGTAATCCCAATGGCGACATTCTTTCTGAGGTATAACAAGCAACTTTGAGCAAAATCCCAGTAGATGAATTTGTCTGATCCGACTTCTGTACATTTGCCTCATAAGCCAGGAAATAAAATAAAATCTGTTCTACTTTTTTAAGATAATGAACGTTCTATTTCCATGAAACAGGAATTAGCTCGGTGGAAGCAGCAGAATTAATAGTTTAATGCGCACCTGTGCGCCTTAATCGTGAATTATAACACAGATGTTATCAACTGTCATCCGATTTTGATGAATGATAGCAATCTATAATTCTTAACACCTTAAGCGTAGATTATACACGGTATTTCCGTGCCCCCAATGAAGACCTGATCTCTGAGTGGCGTGTGCATTACCCCTCCATACGTCCCACTGGATCTTTGTGAAACATGTATTTCTTGGCCGTCAGATAAGCTTTGTTCCCTGAAGTAGACTTGGTACCACGCAAAGCCTGCCTGATAGTACTTATCTTTCTCGTATAAATAGTGGCCGAAATAGTTGCTTCAGGTTCAGTATTATCCTGCGCTCTCCGTTGTCCACATGAATCTTTGACCGACAGTCTCGTATAAAGAATAAGTGAAACAGTTTCTTCTGTCTTAAATCAGTGACAGTCTCAGATTTATTATTGAAACTAGTCGTCCTACAAAGGTTTAAGCGCGTTTAAACCTTTGCCCGATTTTATTTGGTGATAGGTGTCATTAAAGCTACGAGAATTACTTTTAAACGCCAGGTGAGTCTTGATAATTACTTCATTTAAAAGCTCTTGCGTCATGCTTTCTTTGTTACAAGTGTTTAGTCTTTTACATCATCGTGTTGTGTAATTCTTTAGTTTTGAAGGCGAAGTTGTTTGCTCAGGAAAACAGATTAAAAAAGAAATTACTGCTCCTTGCCATTTTGTTTCAATGACGTTCAAGCTATCTTAAACGACTGGCAAGAAACACATATGATTAATACTGATAAAATTCGATAAGATAATTTTGTGAATGTTAAAAAAATGTTTGCAACAAAAGTCTAAACGACCCCTGAAAAACCGATCAATATATCCCTGATTACTATTTCATAAATTAAATGTCGTTTAGAATATCTCGTTGTCAATTGTTCTCAAATTTTTATTTCGCAAGATATGAAGCCTTTCTCGTTAATATAAGAATTCCTTTTATCGAAATCCTTGAGAAAACAAAATTATGTATAATGCTTTCTGCTCGGACTAGTAATGAGTACTCCGGATTCGATTGCTTTATCAAAATTGTCTATATTTTCTATTAAGAGTCCGTTTCTCGAGATGAGTTTTAATTAATATATGAAACAGTAACGATGTGATCTTTTGTTGCAGGGTTCAATCTGCGATAGGCTGGTGGGCCAGTCTATTGGTAGGTGCGTGAATAACTGCGACAACTGGAAGTTGTACCTTAAAACAGAGCCCCCGTGACTTTGCTAGCACCTCCATAGTTATCTTGTCTTGACCCGACTCCTCACGGCTCACCCAATTCTCACAGACAGCTGCCTCGTGCGTGTCGTTCCGATACATCGTTCCCAAGTCGAACGAACGTAAACGTCTAATTGCCGAACTTTTACAGTTTGCTGCCTAGCGCCTACAGAGTATCTTACGGAAGTTTATAAAATAGTCAATATGAAGGTAACGAATCTGGACGAACGTATTCATGTTCTGGACCGTGCGTCGAACGCTAGAACCGTCATCAAGGATATCGCGTTGAGCGGATTGCAAGAAGAAGCCTTCTACGTGCTCGACGTTGGAGACATCGTCAGAAAACATCGAGTATGGACGGAAAAATTGCCACGCGTCAGCCCCTACTACGGTACGACTATTGAAAAAATACGTACGACCTAGATCTCGTTTAGAAATATAATCTAACTAAATCTCATTGTTCGATTTCAGCTGTGAAATGCAACGACAACTTGATCGTGATCGAAGTATTGGCCGCTCTCGGCATTGGTTTCGATTGCGCCTCCAAAGTAAGTGGAAATTTGATACACATAGATACTCAAGATAAGCGACTATCTAACTTAGATTTATTGTTCACAATTCCTAGACGGAGATTAACAAGGTATTAAGCGTCGGTGTCGACGCGTCTAGAATCATCTTCGCGAATCCAGCTAAACCAGCGTCACATATTCGTCATGCCGCCGCTGTCGGAGTCGATGCAATGACGGTAGATAACGAAAGCGAATTGCATAAGATTAAGAAACTTCATCCCGATGCCAAGGTAGCATAAAATATATTCTCCTTGTTTCCTTAAGTTACGCTTCTTCTCAGTCGTATAAAATGATCGAATCATCCTTTGACTTTCAGGTCGTCATTCGAATCCGTTGCGACGCAGAAGTAGCTCAATGCCAGTTGGGCATGAAATTCGGTTGCGATCCGATTTACGAGGCACCCAATCTTCTGCGCCTCGCGCGCGTGCTGGGTCTCGACGTGATCGGAATCAGCTTTCACGTTGGTTCCGGTTGTCAAGATCCACCCGTGTTCCATCGGGCCATACGCCACGCCAGATCGCTGTTCGATCTGGCGACCGACATCGGTTTCAAGCCGCATCTCTTGGACATCGGCGGCGGTTACCCGGGGAACAAAGGTACCAGCATCGACAAGATCGCCGACGTCGTCAATAAAGCGCTCGACGAGTACTTCAACACCGACGCCGTTCACGTAATCGCTGAACCCGGCCGCTTCTACGTGGCCTCTGCATTTACACTCGCGACCAGTATTCACAGCAAGCGTTCGGTCCGCAGCAACGAAGCTTCGCCCAATGTCATTACGCACAACATGTACTACATCAACGACGGCGTTTACGGATCTTTCAATTGTCTACTGTACGATCATCAGCACGTGACTCCGATACCTTTGAAGAAAGGTTGCGGGAAAATGATCCCCTCGAGCATCTGGGGACCGACCTGCGACGGTTTAGATCAAGTCGTCGAAAACGTTCTGCTGCACGACATGGATCTCGGGGATTGGATCATCTTTGAAAATATGGGAGCTTACACTCTGCCGGTCGCTTCGCCGTTCAACGGATTCCCGGTACCGAAAGTTCACGTCATCGCCGACGAGAACATTTGGTGCCTTTTAAAAAATGCTCTGCCTTTGACCGAGGAGCACTTCGTCATCGGCAACACTCCGGCTAATTTACGACTCGGCCTGGACATCGGTGGCAACGATACGAACGGATGGCACAATCCGAACATCGAACTTACAGCCACGGAGATATTGAATGGCGCTAATAATCCGCCGTCGTCCTATATTTACGATTACGTCGAAGTCGATCCTTTGAATTAATACGCGACGACGAAAGAC